CATCGTTTTTATAGACCTTATTTGTATACTAAACCCCTCCTATTTAAGACATGTTCCCAAGCCAGTATTGTATAGGATGGTTTTGATCTAACGAAAGCTCAATACGCAGATAATAGAACAGGGTCGGGCACTATTTTTACCTGAAATTCAACGGGCTCAGACAAATTTTTGACCTTAATATTTCTGAGTGAAATATGCTTCTTTTAAGTGTAGTGAGTTACCGTTGAACCATTTACCCAGGATGTTTTAAATACTTTTTATCGAAAGAAAAATTGTTTTTTTGTAGAAACTTTTTTTTATCAATTGCAACCCGCAACTACCACAAAATTTCAACCAAGGTCAAAGCTCACCAAAGTATTAAAATAGAACAGAAATAACACGGGTCCAAGTAACGATTCTTGATGATCTCCAAGTCATGATTTAGGGTATTGTAAGTTCCCGAAGCCCACATGAAACACTACTGAACGTACCAATTTGAATAAAAAGTATTCATTAAATAAGATTTCAATAATTGCTATTCTGTTGATTAAACTCAAATAGTTGTATCTTGTGTAGTAATAGCCGTGGATTCCCATAGTCGAAAGCTTATGTCAACTCACAAAACAAAGCTTCGGCGTATAAGCCATCATTATATTCACCCTTCATCAGTCTTACCAGCTGGCTTACGGCATATATGGTTGAAAACAAACTTCTAGACCCAAACTATTTGTTATTAAGCAGATAATTTCTTGCAAATTAACAAGCTGTTTTATTTTAAAATTTTTGTTTAATAAGAATAAAGATACATCATTAGCGAACTAATAATATGTAACTTAATCAAAATTGGTCAAAAATTGAACTTGACTGCAGTATCGAACAAGCTGAAGTAGTTATAAGCGGTTTATGCATGGCTAATACTAGTGGTTTTTCGAGTTTTCAGAAGATTGTTGGTTGTAGCCTTTTAGGTTTTATTGAATTTTGATGTCGTCACTAATATTTTATTTTACTAGAAGTAGAAACAGCCCACCTATGCCAGAACATAATTTAATGCTTTTATTCAAAACATGTTGGTAATAATATGATTTTCTGAAGAAAAGTTTAAAAAATTCCAGTTGAAAAGAAATTCAACCAAAAGAAGTATCAGTTTCAGTTAGTTTGTAAACAGTAACACTGTAAACAGAGAAAAGCAGCAGTAAAAGAAAAATAGTAGGTACTCTAATGGAAAAGGAATACAGGAATGTGTTAACATTCCGTTCGATAATAACGAGAATGTATAATGCTTGTAAAATTGCGTAAAACGTATTTGCACAAATAACAAAAAAATGCAAAAAATGCGAAAGTTGCGTTTTTTTGGGAAACAATCGCATATAACTCGGTAAGTATGCATTTTACAGAAACAGATTATACTTTCTACAAGATAGAGTTGGTCCGATATCCGTAGAATTGAAATCTGCCCTGCGAAATGTTCGAAATTGCAAAAAAGTATGTAAAAAACAAGGTAATTTTAAATGATTTATTTAACAATGAAAAAATAACCTAATCACGCCATACATTTAGAGAAAACTACTTGACTGCAATACAAAACAAGAGCCGCAAGGCCGTTAAATAACCTACCTAAAAAATACCTTTTTCTTGATTCCCTGGTGGAAAGTACGTACTTTCGCCACTGTTTTAGATGGCGAAAGAATCACTTTTACCCATTCCACATTTTCTTCATCCCGTGTGGAAAGTAATAACTTTCGCCACGCCCGCTGACAACTTGACTTTGTCACTGACTGTCAGCTGACTGTTTTGACAACATTTCCAAAGTTTTTTTTTCAAAACGTTATACTCTTCCCGTTTAATTTCCAACGAGGATCAAGCAAAATAATATCCGGTACCGCAATATATTATTTTTTTTATTTTGTGCCAGGCTCAAAGTTATAAATACTTTTTTGCGCCCGCGCTTTTACATCTTCTTACAACACATTCTTACACACTCGCAAATCTTGCTTTACAGGTTTTTTTTTAATAAAAAGCCAACATTTTCAAACTTTGTAGAACCGCTTACAAAGTTTTTAAATTGAAAAATAGTTAATATAGCAATTGTACATGATAGGTTTAGGTTATTTATTTAATAATTGCATTATGCAAAAACTGTTCGTCCGATCTTAATCGGCCTTGCGGCTCTCAGTTTGTTTTGCAGTTAAGTAATTTTTGCTAAATGTATTCCGTGATTGCGTTATTTTTTATGGTTAAATAAATAACTTAAAATTACTTTGTTTTTGCCTACTTTTTTGCATTTTCGGACATTTTACTTTTCGGAAGTAAACATTTCAAATCTACGGATATCGCTCCAACTCTAGCTTGTTGAAAATTTTATAGCGAACAAATTTATTAGCATTCATTTTTTCTCTAAAATGCATAATTACCGAGTTAAATGCGTTTATTTGCGAAAAAAATGCGATTTTTGCATTGTTTTTCGTTTTTTGGGTTGTTTATGCAAATAGCACACCTTTTAAAGCTGGCCCGATACTTTCAATAGGTCTACCATTCCCGAGCGATTCCGATAGTTGTATAAGTTACTTGACTTTAGAGCCATATTTGAATGATTTTATCGTAATTCTCCTTGCTTATATTTGCAAAATATCAATTGGAAAAGCCAACACATCAAAATCTCAGCTCAGCGCACAAAATTACTTTTGTAATTCGTGGTTTATTACAACAACCATAAGGTTTTAATTTAATTACTTTAATGGATTAAAAAATATTAAACCAAAGACAGTAAAACCTGAGAGTAAAATTTTCACTTGAGACGACTGGGAACACCATCTGAAAATCATCACCAACAGTTGGTATTCGGCAGATTACCTAAAAGCAGTTCAAATCCAAGTAATACTTGATGATAAACCGATATATTTTCCATATCCTAAAATTTTATTTCATCAACAATCATTTTCATAAATATTTAAATCTCACTAGTTAGTTGCTGACACATTCACTTCAATTACAAGGAAACTATGGTCATTTGGGAGAAAAGAATATGTTTGTCAGCAGACCATTTATTTTCCGAAATCTTTTGACCCTAATAATAAAGTAACTTAAATGCGAGGTAAAGGTTGTGTAACAAATTCTAATAGAAGTGAAACCACAAATATTGACTGAATTTGGTGAATGAATAATAGTAAATTATTGAAATACATCGAGTTTTGTTGAGGAAGTTCAAGCCGAACCTCTAAATCATATCGCTCTACATTTTCAAATTTTACAATAATCTTTATGCACCCTTGAGAAAGGATCAATTAGTTACTCGAATAAGTTCGAAAGTTCGGTATTTCATTATAACTAAATGTTTTAATGTTACTGCTTCAGTCTCCCAATTTTATTATCAAATATTTTTTCTAAATCTTCTTGGATCCAAGGTATATAATATCGCCCCACTTCAAAATGTGAAAGAGTTTAATTTTGAATGCTTATCTATAAAGCTTGAATTAACTTAAAGGCCAATTTTTCAAAAGGCAGAATTTATGCAGAGCTTAGACATTTGGTTTGAGGATTTTAATGTCGCCTGTAGTATTGATCGGAATGGCAAGCGGAACAATATCAACATTTTTTATAAATTGTTTAAATTAACTTTAGTAACTCATAAGTTTACGAGAGATCGAGATCATAATATAAATTTTATATATCATTTTTGCTTTTATACAGAGAACGTTTTCATTGCAATTTCAAGTAATAGATGCTAATCTGAGGCAGGTTTATGCCTTACCCAACACATCAATAGGTAGAAGTATTTTCTCTATAAAAGTGGACAAAGAGATTATAAGATCATGTTCCCTTTAACTACAATAGTGGCAAAAGGTTGGCTCGTGGCGTCCTCAACGGCAGTGTCTGTAACTTTGCGCGCTGAGGTCACCACTTCTTTAACTCTTCAGATTTGCCTCAGGCACAACGCAAAGCATAACCGGTTGACCTCGTTAGGTATAGATGGAGAATATTATTTCAGATTGGTTGCTTTGTTGTGTCGGTAGCTGAATTTCTTGGGTTTTAGTAGGCGATGTTGCATGATATTTGTTATATTGACAACTTTACCCTGAATATAACTTTTGATATTACAATTACACTTTATAGTGCTTGCGCTTCAGAGCTTAAATGGCGTAATATTAAAGGATGTTCCTCATTCAAACCCAGGGCAAATAAAAAAAATTTTGAATTGTTTTTTTGCCCCAAATTAGTAGTTGATATTCTATTGCTAGGACTTCTAGTTCACGAATAAGCTTCTGCAATTTGACAACAGCTGTGATGTTAAATAGCAGAAATACCATTCGGTTTTTAAATCTTATGTAACAATTGTTATAGTAAATTACTTAATTACTGATTCCGATTAAATCAGTTTTCCTGTTCCAGTGACCTTAACACTACTGGGTAATTATGCATACAGATTGAATGTTCATAGATGACTTAATATTTAAATAAATATAACTCTGGAGTGCGAGGTTAATAAGCATATTGTAATATATTGAATATTTGTAATTTAATTATCATCCTCCATGTGTTGTATTTGCTTTGTTTTCTCACCAATGCTCTCTATCTGTGATGAACGATAAAGCGCATAAAGGTATAAAAAAATTGCATATTGTCTATTTTCTTCTTTAAAATATTTAGGAGTCATCTTATAATAATTACAAACGCCTAACTTCAGTCTTTGTTCTTTGTTCTTCACCGAAATGCAAGAAAATACTCGGCAACCATGCATGAAATTGATGTCTACCAACTAAGTACTGATAGTTTACAATGTCAACCAGGAACTTCACTCACTTGGTCCAATCTTTTAAAGGTCCTGAATTGTAAATAGCGGTTACAATAGAAAATCTGATCAAAAATTACTTATGTAGTAATAGATATATTTATTTCCCACTTGATATTACCATATAATTCGTCTCCTGCTTTTGGACATATATGTGCTTACATAAATGTCCGTCGTATATTTGATCCGGATTGTAATCAATACAATGGACATATTTTTTAAACATACAAGTTAATTTATTTTACTTGACCATTTTATTACAACGTATTTTCAACATATTGGTTAAAATAATGGTTTATTGTTACAAATGACAAGTATCTAGATTCTAATTTTTATGTATGCATTTTCACTAAATTTGATTAAAACGGTTCTAGCTGATTGGGATAACTGTTAATTGCAGATAATGCGTTTTGTTAAGTTCAGATGGCCACGAAATGATGTTCGTAGATGTGTTGTTGCTTACCCTGGCGCTTGGACATCGTGTCAGTGATCTTGGTGTTCTTGACCTTAAACGAGAACATTAAGCTGGCCTATTACTTGGATTTTTTCAAATGATGCTTCTCCTATCTGGCAATCTATAAGACTCATTGACCTAACTCGATATATTATTTATTTTGTCCTAATGTTCATACTTGAAGAGGTTCAGAACAAAAATCATAGAATACAGCTGAATCGCTATTCGAATGTTTTAAATTCTGGTGTAATTTACTAAAATCAATATTAAATTTACAGAGGTAAGTGGCTATAAGGTAGGCTTAAGAAATGTATAATATAATCTGTTACTAGTTTCATTTCTCCTTTAAAAACAGTAGAGTTTAAATATTAGAATCGGTGTTATAAAATTAACAACTTGTACCATCAACTTTTGTTGTACAGTTTTTCCCTATCAACTTTCCCACAACCGTGCTACATGCATCGCCTTTCAGGAATAGTCAAAATAATGCTAAACATGATGTGAATATTTATACATGTTTTATTTTCATTCACGTATTCACATATCGCTTTTTTAATTAATTTGAAACGAATGATTTTTTCTTTATTTCAAATCCTAGTCAGGCGGATTCTAAAAACAATTTGCAAGTTTAACAATTGCTGAAAAATCAACCATTTCTCGGTTTTTAATAAAATTTCTATGTATTTAGCTCAAACCTTTTTATTGATTCCGGCCAAATTTCAAGTCGCTAATTTGAAAGTTATAACTTTTCTTCAGCTCAAAAGCAAATTAAGCCGATTCTTAAAAATAAGGTGCAAGTTTAAATATTTCTGAAAAATCTGAAACCAAGAAGGTGAACTATGTATTACACTGAATGATCTTAATAACCGCACTGAAAAGTTGCAGAAAGAGAAGCAGAAAAAGCTTATATAGCATATATAGCATCAATAGCAATTATATAAGAGCTTATCAGTAAGAAAAGGCACCATGTAAATGAAAAATCTATAGCGAAAAAGAATACAAAACACATTGAAAGAATTCAGTATGAACTGGCCTTATTTTCCATTATATTTTCCGAATACATGCATACTCAAAATTCCGTAACAATTCCTACCTCAACCCTCTCGTCTACACATCAATAGCAACATTCCCCAGATGATTTTGCCTCATTCCTCGTTCCTTGACTTTAACACTGGTCACAAAGGATAACTGATAAATCTCACTTCTGGATAAAAAAAAACGCTGTAAACCGATCCAGGAGAAAGTGGCGAGTTGATACCCGAGTCGGAAATTTTGCCAGGCCTGCTGGGCGGACTTAAAAGTGTATCAGCTTGCCAAGCACTAGTAGAAAAGTCCAAGAAGTGATGTTATTTATGCAAATTTGATGATTTTGGCGTTTTAAAAATTGAACACACACAATATGACACAAACATCATCAATATGAATCAACAATCAGAAGTTTTAATTTTTTTAAGGTAGCCTATAGGTGAAGGGACTGATCGAATGAAAAAATGTTCAATCGACGTTTAAAACATATTGTCTACTTGTGTGTGTAAATGGAATAGGTATCCTGTATATAACGCAAGTTTCAATTCGTCTTAAAGTTCTAATTAAGAATGGTAAAAATTGTCAGAATTTTATTCACAAGACATTTTTTTAATTCGATTCTACTGCGTTTAGAAAAAAATTGGTGAATTCAAAAATTAACTAAATCTCAAAATGTTCAGACCCAAAGCTTCAATCATTTCTATTTTGTTATTTAGGTCCTCTAAACTACAAACAATGATTGTTCAGTTCCTTACACCTAGGTGTTCACCTTTTGCTAATATTTAAACAATCCATTTTACCTAATTAACTTATCGTGTTTAATTAGTGGGCCGTGAACTCTATAAAGATTGACATTTAGTTCCACGTGTCTAAATAAAATCCATGAAACGTTCTTTATATTAAACGTAGGTAAAAACTTGCCAAATTAAACAGATTACAGTAATAAACATTTGTGTAACTTTAATTTCACCGATGGTTTTGAGCGCATAAAACCAAACGGCGTGAGTGCATATTCATCGCCAGAGCATTAAATCTGGATATGCTAAATAAATAAAAGGTAATTCTTAAATTTTACAAAACTTTCAATGCCAGTTCTTCATCTTGTGTTTGTTTATTGCGGATGTTAGATGGGGTCCAAACTAATCGCAATACATATTTTAACATCAGCAGCTCGGAATATACTTTTATACTGTACTAAGCAATGAATCACTTCTTCTACCAGGTCTTTATTTTCGTCCCTTGCAGGATACAGGCGATGTGAGACTTTTAATCAGGTTACAATGTAAGCTTTCGGGTTTTCATGGGTAATGGGACTTCATGCTCTTTTGTAAGTCTTTCCAGAACAGTTTTATTGCTCTGTCCCGGTAATTTTAAAGTCTCTTCGGTACATCCATTTAATACGCTACTATTTTTTTCCAAGGAGATTCCTATAGAGTCCATTACTGAACACCGTTCAATAGCACAAGCAAAACAGATAATATTACAGTAATATCACTACACAGGACAAATAATCTAAACAGTTTGGTCATTCTCAAAAATACCATTGATTCCAGTTCGCATTAACTATTGTTCCCGAAAATGTTTGTGCTTGAACTTGTTCGATTAATTACCTATTAAGTACGAGCTAGTATCATTATTATTTCTTTTGGAAATTTCCATGTTTCCGTTTCCTTACAATATACCGGAATCCACATACGTGGTCAGTGTCTGCAATCTTATTCATTAGCTCTTGAAAATGTTGGTGTCATGTGTGGTTCTATGGAAAAATACTTTTTCTTTTGCAACAACACCAATTATCGCTAATTTATAACTGATCTGGACTTTAGACTGATTAATTTCTTCAGTATTTTTACAGGGTGGTCTCAACTAATGTGACAAAATTTACCGTCACATTGTTTAGACAAAATATTGCATTTCAGTCCAGTTCATCTTATCCGAAAGTAAATAGTTTTCGAGGTACAGGAAGTCAAAGTGTAAATAAAAGTTTCGCTTGTTTTTAATAGATTTTTAACCCATATTACTATTACCAAAAAATATTGTTTGCGTAGTTTTATATCGGAGAATAATTTTTTTTTTATTTGAATAAAAGCTTATATCCTGACAATGCCCTCTCTTGTTCACATAGCATTACGAAATCTAAACTGCATTTGCCCAATTTGCTTTTGGCACAATCCAAAAATTATTTTGTGTGACTTTATAATTCAAATTATCACTGAATTATACCGGTCGTAACTTTATATTTATTTAGCGTTTATGCGACAGGACATACATATATCCTGCACAGACGGATAGCAGCACATTAAATATAAGACATTTTTCAGCAGACTATTTCCTAATATACCATAACAATTATGTCGGTCGACTATTTTGGCAAATCAATTTTACCAAATCTTGAATAAGTCGGAAATTTGGCATGAACAACATTTTAATAATCATAATCTACAAGAACTGTCCGTACGAAATTTTTTTTTTCAATGGAAATTTAGAGAAATCAATAGAGTTGGACGAGTTAATTTCTTCAATCAAGTCTGCTTGCTATCCGGCCTCACACACCCTGGTTGTTTAATGTTTATTCAAGGCAAATTTACATTTAACTAAAGTACACGACTTTTGGCGAAGTGCTTAAGTGAGGGGCCAGTTCTCTAACAAAAGAATGATGATAACAAATTTGTTATAAAAGTTTTATATTGTTAAGGCGGATTCATTTTTTACAAACTGATTGTTGGGTATTTGACCTCAAAAATTGTTGTCTTTAAAGAAGACAGAATTTTCTCACGTCTTTTATTACAGATTGATAAATAGTGCTTTTATTTCGCAATAAGAACGAATTATTTATCAAAAAGTAATCAAGAACTATCACCTAGAGCAGGGGTCGGCAACCTGTTTGTCCGTAAGGGCGCAATACTAAATTTATAATCAATAGGCAAGATAATCAACAGGTATAGATAGGCATTAAAAACATATTTTTTATAACGTAATTTTGTTGATGTCACATGTAATGATACATATAATTCATTGTGAAACTTGAGTGTCCATATTTTCAGCTAATTTCTTATAATTAGGGATATATTTAGAGTTCCCGGTCCTTAAACAATTAACTAAATGTAAGTCATTTGGCTTTGTTCGTTATTTTGAATTAAAATATTTCATATTTGAGAACAACGACTCGCAATTGTATGTTGTTGCACTATATGAATAAATTTTTAGCGCACATTTTCTCAAAATAGGATACCTATTTTCATCGACTAAGTTCCAAAACATTTTATCATTACTAACCGCTTTTAAAATAATGTCACTTCGCAAGTTTATTATTTCTAATTCTAATATTATGAAGCTCGAAATACACTGAAACTATGTCAAGAACATCGTCTTCAGTAACATTGAATGGATTCACGAAAAATCTTAGAATGGGTTCTAATGCTGCAAAATCTTCAAATCCAGAAGAAAACTCTTCTATTAGATTAGCTATAATTTCTAATTATGATGTAGCAGTAAAATTTTCTTCGTTAAAATTTAAACTCTCAGCAGTATATTTTGTATTTGGGAAATGTGATAATGGTGTTTTCAATAGATGGGATTTCAACAACAACATTAACTTGCATTTGAATGCATTTACAGCCCTAATCATGTCAGCGATATGCTGATTTTTCGTTTTGTATTTCTAAATTTAATTCATTCAACTTTGCCGTAATATCTGTCAGAAATCGGAGGTCGATTAGCCAATCCTTATTTTTTAATTGCTCGTAAAATTCGCCTCTTAATGCAATAAATTGCTTTATTTGTGGTAAAAGCATGATAAACCGCTGAAGTATTTTACCTCTGCTCAGCCACCTCACTTCAGTATGTAAAAGAAGATCTGTGCATTGAACGTCCTCATCTTCTAGAAGTAATTTAAACCATGTGTTTTGCATTGCTCCCGATCTTATGGAATTAATAATTTTTGTTACTATCGTAAATACGTGTTAAAAACCGATTGTTTTTGCGCGTAACATTTCCTGATGGATGAGGCAATGATAAGAAATAAATTTCGGGAATAAGAAATTCTGTCTAGATAAGGCAATAAATCCTTTTTTCTTACCAGTCATCGCTGGTGCCCCGTCTGTTGTAATTGACGATAACTTTTGTAGAGGTAATTTAACATCTGTTATATACTTTTTAAAAGTAGAAAAGGTATCTCCTCTTCTGGTGCTTCCTTTTAATGGCAGAACTTTAAGAAATTCTTCTTTGTTGTAAAACCAGAAAATACCATCTTCAAGCAAATTGCTAATTGTGATATATTTGTCACGTCTGTTGATTCATCCATCTGTAGCGAATAGAAAATAAAATTTTTCATATCATTTGCTAATTCTGCCTCCAAATTATCCGCAATGACTTCAATTCTTCTAGTGACAGTTTGTGCTAATAATTGCAACGTGTTTATAGCTGAAACTATTTCCTTTTTATTTTTAAATTCTTCAAAAAGTGAATCAGCAGCTTCTAGCATGGCTTCTTTCACTAATTCTCCATCTGTAAATGGTTTTTCATTCTTAGCTAGCAAATGCGATATTTTATATGCCGCGATCGTTGCAGCTTTATGTTGTTGCAGTGGTTTAGTAAAAAAACTTTGCTGGTTAGTTATTGAAGATTTTAAAGAACTTTTTTTTTCTTTTTCAGAAATTTCAGAGTTCATTGCATAGTCACTATCAAAATTGGTATGGACGGCCTTAAAATGTCGTTCAATATTAGTTTTCTTGGGAATCGCAACACTATTATTACACAACAAACAAATACCCTGCCCTTTGTAATCAAAGAAACTCGCTCTGGCTATCATACATTTACAATAGTCCAGCGAGGGCGCATTAAAAATCGATCGGGGGCGCTATGGGGCCCGCTGGCGCCGCTTTGCCTACTCCTGACCTAGAGGATACTTTTGGATAATAAATAATAATTCTATAAGTCAATATTATTGTCGCAGGATATTAAATAAGATACACAATTTGCATATTTTATTTGAGGAGCTTTAGCACCGACAAATGGAGCCATATGCCAATTTCAAAAACATTGAGAAAATGAGGCTATGCATGGTCAGCAGTAAGCAGATTGTGAAAGGCGCTGAATCAAGAAGTGTTGCTACATATCGTTCAAACGTATCCCACGTTTTCCGAATTACCTTTTAAAATGTTAACTTTTATTTGTTTTGAGATGTTTAGTTTGGTAATGTGTACTGATGGTATAAATCACATAAGTATATCTTGAGAGTTATAAGTTTTCTTATTGAAATTTCCACATATCATTTCTGCCACCTCTTGGGTTTGAACTAACAACATTCAAATACTTCAGGTCTATATTTATTTAGACCTGAAGAATTTTTCAATTAGCAATTGATATGACAAAACCGCGAAAAAAAATTTATAACTTGCAATTTTCAATA